CCCAATGCAAGACAGACTCCAGTGCTTGCTTGCTTCTTCGCTTTTCGCCGTGTTAAGAGCACTCCATCTTGTGCTCACACGCTTACCATCAAAGCGATCGGTCATCTAAAACTCAAACACTTCAGTGAAACTTCGCGATCTTCAAAGAACTCCGAGTCTTGCAAACTCAGACTGTAGCAAAACTGCTGAAGCCTCTGCGTCATCAAGAAGCCAACCAATCTCCGGAGGGCTTTCCCAAAGAAAAGACGTCATCCTGATGTCACCGCAGTAACCAATCAGCAACGGGATTCCTCAAGCAGCCAAACAAGGAAACTCAGCTTTTCAGCTGTCACCCAAACGCAAGTAAACAAACAAAGCTTCTATCTGCTGACCTGGTGCCGAGATCATTTTAAGCAGTAAACATAGCCAAATCCTGTTTTATGAATTTTCTCAGGTTGCAAGTAAGAGAACGGTAGCGAATATCTTGCTAAAACTTTGGGCTTTTCTCAGAACTCCGTTAACATCATTTCCCTGAACCTGTATGTGTGTGTGTGTGTGTGTGTATGTGTGTTTTAGCTTAGTTAATGTAATCTAGAATAGCCAATAAAATCCATGTTTCATTTATAAAGAATCATTGTTTGGTGTCATATAATTTTAAGGTTAAAACCTTTGCCAAAGATTCTTGTTACCTTGCTCAAAATTAATAAGATTACCATTTTGTTCATGTGTCGTTGGCCACGAATTAATATGAACAGAATCGTTGATATACACGGACGTTAACGTCTCGCTGGACGAGTCGTTGATTTAAAGTGTAAAATAATAAATTTGAAATCAGTTTTAATCAGGTTGACTCAGAATTTTCAGATCCGAGTCCTTTCAAAACCTGAATGAATTAATAATGATCAATTCCCTTATAGAATTAACGACTTAAATTACAGCTAAGTCACTACACACGTGTTCAATGTGTGACTCTCAGTGTGTTCTGTTTTTCTGTCCGGGACTTTGTTTAATTTAATGCATCAACCCTGTTTCACCGTGAATTTAGCTTTCTTTCTAAATCTTTTGTATGACGCTCTCATACACAAATCCATTTGATAGCTGCACAGAACAGAACTTTCTTACATACTCCGTCGTATCCACTAGGTGGCGTTCTTTCAGTGTGATTAATGTGATGTTCAGTCAGTGGTGATGGTGGGAGGAGCCAGTAAAGCTGCTTATTACTGATAAAGAGCTGAATAAAGAGGAAGTAACTAAAGCAGACAGATGTAGAGACAGAGAGATTCACACAGAGATCATTCAGCATAAAGAAGACTGAACTCAACTCACAATGAAGATCCTCCTCATCTTCCTCACTTTCTACCTGATCTCAGGTCAGAGCTTTTCTCTTTCATCACTGCAGTAATGATGCTGTTTTCTGTTCATAAGCTTTCTGATCACAGTATCAATCTGACTGACAGCTGCAGTGAGATGCTTTAGCGTCACGGGATATTCTGGAGGAAGTCTTCTTGTTGATTCTGGGAAAGTTTGGTCCAGTGCAAATGTTAAATATATGGCCAAATTACCTGAGTGGAGAACAATAATAAATTATAAGAAACATGATAAATGGATTAATGAAGGACGATTCACACTTTATCGAAACAATGAGGGAAACCTCATGATCTACATCAGAGATTTGAAACAACAGGATGCTGGAGGATACTGGATTAGTGTTGATGGCCAGTGGTCCATCGATATGACTTTGAATGTGGAAGAAGGTCAGTTATTTTTAAGATCCAAGTCTTTGTGTAGTAAAACTACTGATCATTTCAAAGCGTGTATATGTATATATGTATAATATATTTATTTATTTTGTAAATGGCAGAGTCATGTTGTGAAGTGTCAAAGAGAGTGATGGTGAATATTGGAGAAACTGCCTATTTCAGCTGTGAATATTCACAGAATCATATTAATGATCCCAAGATCATATTCAAAGAAGGAAAATACTCCATTGAGATGATTTACGGCAGATGGAAGAAGAAAGAAAGATTCAGTATTTCTGATGACGAACATAAACACATCTTCAGTGTGAGAATCACTGCTGTGACACCAGATGATGGAGGAGTTTATTTATGTGGAGTTTGGATCAACAGAGACTCATACAGTTACTCCATTATTAACACTGTTCATCTACATATTATGAGTGAGTAGAACAAACTCTCATTGAAATCTTGTTTCATTATGAGTGAGTAATAGAAACTTTCAATCAGATCCATGTTTCAGCATTTTCTTTGATTCATATTTTTGTGTAGTTCTCCCAGACCACAAATAAAACCTTGAATGTTGACAGATTCATGTTGTGGAGCATCAAAGACATTAAGAGTAAATAGTGGAGAAACTGCTGATTTCATCTGTGAATATACAAAGCATCAACAGTATTCTAGAATAATCATATTCAAAACAAGAAATTATATCATTGAGGAGGTGATCTCCACTACTAACACACGGGCTCAGAAAAAAAGATTCAGTATTTCTGATATCAAACATAAAAACATCTTTACTGTGAGAATCACTGCTGTGACACCAGATGATGGAGGAGTTTATTTATGTGGAGTTTGGGACTACAGTTACCTGTACAGTCACTCCATTATTAGCACTGTTCATCTGCATATTATTAGTAAGTAGAACAAACTCAATCCAATCTGGTTTTAAACTTTCTAAAATCTGTATTTGATTTAATGATATTTGTGATTGACAGCTAAAGTGGGCGTGTCTAGAGTGAGCGGCTCCTCAGGAGGTGGTTTGATGATCAAGTGTGAACATCCTCAATACAAAACCAACCCAAAATACATCTGTAAAGAATCAGACGGATGTTCAGAGAGGAAGAATGCAGGAGTTCAGGATGAATGGATGGAGAATGGAGATGTTTCTTTATATGACGACACCAGAGCAGGAGTCTTGATGGTGTTTTTTAGAGAGCTGAAAGCTGCAGATGCAGGAACATACAGGTGTGGAGTGAAAGTATCTGACTATACTGAGAGCTTCACTGAACTTCAGCTACACCCCAAACACGGTGAGCAAACTCAAGTACTTTAATTTTTATAATATTATTATTTCCTTTGTTTAACCAGAAAATCCCATTGAGCTAGGGATTCATATAAAATACTGTGGTGCGTGTGTGACTCAGCAACACAAACAAAATGTAATGCTGCATGATAAACGGTCTAATAAAATCTATATACCTAAATATTTATACCAACCTACTTTTTCTATAAATATACCATATGAGGTCAAAATTGCCATATTCATCATCTTAGAACCAGTGTGACTAAAAATCTAAATTTTAAACCAATTTCAGCTGTAGCAGTGAATGCTGCATTACTTGAAATGCATTCTGTTGTGCTTTCTGCAAGGCTTGATTTAAAGAAGATGCTGTTGTATATATATTTGTGTCGTCAGCATACAAATGAATTTTAGCTAAATTTATTCCAAGACCTAAATCATTGATAAAGATAGAAAATAAAAGAGGAGCTAAAACTGATCCTTGTGGTACCCCGCTGTCTACTAGAAAGGGAGAACTATACAACAAATAAAGCTGCACAAGGCTTTTTACTATCCAAGACGTTAATAATATCATTTGTAACTAACATGGCTGCAGTAATGGTGCTGTGGCCTGTTTTGAAACCTGACTGATAGTCATTAAGGATATTATTATTATCAGATAAAAAATGTTTTAATTGATCGTTTATCAATGATTCAAATACTTTAGCTAAAACTGGTAGACGTGACATAAAACGGTAATTATTGGGACTTGAAGGATCTCCACCCTTTAAAGGTGCCATAGAATGCATTGATACAATATTTTAAATAGTTATCTGATGTCCCCAGAGTGTGTATGTGAAGTTTTATCTCAAAATACCCCAGAGATAATTTGTTATAGCTTGTTGAAATTGCCACTTTCAGGGTATGAGCCAAAACGCGCTGTTCCCTTTCATGGGAACTTCGAACTGCGTCCTCTAGGGGTCGCTATGGGGAACGCCTCGTCGAGAGAGCCAAGAAACTCTTTTGGAAAACAAAATATGATGCGTGATGCTTACTTTGTCTGGAGTCTGGACGTTTGCAAACGAAGCGTTGGTATCGATCCCTCTTTCAGAAGCAATCTTTGCACAACTCCAGCGCTGAACTGACCCTCGTGTGTGAGGCAGTCCGGCGTAAAATGTTAGCACAAACGTATAGGACTTTTCCGTTTTTTTCGGGACATTTCCTTCGAAAATGAAATTTAACCACCGTGTCCTCAGCGGTATATGGAGACTCCTATGTTCGTTGGTGCATCCCAACACACGACACTAGTGATGGGAAGTTCAGATCATTTTACTGACTCGGACCTTTGAGTCTCGTTTAGCAAAATGAACTAATCTTTTTTCGAGTCATTTCGTTCATTTCGTTCATTTTAGCAAAATATAATTAAAATGTTACGTGTTACTTCCCTAACACGTCTACTACTTACACAAACCCGAGTCACATTAAAGATTAATTCAAAATGAACGAATCGTTCAAGAACGACCCAACACTACACGACACTTTTAATGGCTCTTTGGCGCCGACATTGTACCTCCAGCACCTACAGCAAGAAATCAGCATTGGCGGACCGCTGCTTCTCACTCAGGGCTGTGTATGTGCTAATAGGGCAGAGAGCGTCACAAATGGGCGGGACTTTCCCCGAGTATGACGTCATAGTAGTGAGAAATCTGGAACTGCTCGTGTGGAGAGACTGTCTATGATTTATTGGGATTATAAAACAATGAGTGGGTGGATTTTTACCATTATAGGCTGGTTGTTTTCACACACTGCGGTCACACAACTGTGTTCAAGCACCTTATAAAAGTGATTTTTGCATTCTATGGCACCTTTAATAACGGGATGACTGTTGCTGATTTCCATGTTTTCAGTAAGTTAAGTTTAGGTTAAATATAGAAATATCAGCTGCCAATCTGAAAAATAGGGCTCAATTTTATCGATGCCCGCTGATTTTTTAATATCAAGTTTCACTAAAGCTTTATGGATTTGTGCAGCAGTAAATTCAACAACTGTGAGGGACAATGTTGAACAGGATTTAAACTTTCCACAGGAGCACATTCACCTAAATGGCTATTGTAAGGGAAACAGGTCGATTTGGCTCAAAGGGAATCATTTAAGATTTTAAAGGGAATTTGGACAGAATCACTGTTTAACGGCTGATCACTGAGACGGCCAGCGAGTCATTGAACGAGCCGTATAACATCAACTCTGCAATGGATATTTATATCCAAAATATAGTGAAAACACTATTAATTAGCACAGTAACAAGATCGGCAGTTTAAGACATTAACTTGTAAGCACAAAACACAAGATACTTCTCTTTTCAATATAAATAAGGCTTTATTGGATAAATCTAAGACATATAAACTAATCTAACACATAAACACACGCATTCACACAAGTTGCAGAAAGAGAGAAAGTGAGGAAATAATTAGTTTAAGAGGATGAAAATGTGAAATCCCAAGTTTACAGCAATATGTGCAATTGCATAGATCTGAACAACCATCAATCACTTAATTAACCCTCGCACTGAGTTCCTCAATGAGGTTAAAATTTATATTAAATGCACCAGTTCAGCTAGAATCTGGAGGTACTTGCGTTGTGTTGCCTGTACGGGGGTTCCCTTTGTTGTGGTCCTTGCAGAACGGGGTTTCCCGCGGTCGCTGATTGGCTGGAAGTTCAGTTTTGGGGAAGCCAGTGATTGGGCGTTGGCTGACAACGCGGAGCTGCACTCTTTCGGAGACACGGCGTTGGGCAAAACTTAACTTGGAACACACGAAACTCTCAACAGAAAATAAAATGGCTTGTGGGGCCAAGATCTGATTTACGAACATCCTGTGTCTTGGGTCTCTGTGGAATTTGGCTCCTCATGTTTCAACCATGTTTTGACCAAATCTTAGATTGTCTGATTCGGTCTGATACCCTACACTATAGTCAGATGTGAAACCAGCAGATATAAAATTATTATTAAAGATATATGCACTCTTTACTACAGAATGGTTAACATTTAAATAATCAGCAAAGTTGATTGATGAGCTTGGTGCCAAATTGGATTTGACTAATTTCCAGAACTTAAATTTTCATTTATCATAGAAAGATGATAATCACATTTTGTGCTTTTTATTAATTTTGTGCATTTATTTCATAGTGTTCTGTAGGAGATCCAATCTAGAGAATCATTTGTTTTCTTAGCTTTAGCCCAAGCAGCATTCCTCTGTCCAATAAAAGTAGAAATGGTATCGTTAAACCAAGGATTATGTTTTACCACTTATTCTAAATCGTTTAAATGGAGCATGTTAGATATCTAAATGCTAAAATACCAAAACAAAACTAAAGTAGATTGACTAAAATTAGTCAAACACTTGTATTAAACAAATGGAAGAAGAAGAAGCAAAAGACTGGCAAACACATATCTACAAACAAGTTGCCATCTTGAATTTTGCCCTGTCAATCTTGCATGTATGAAGTATCTGTTCTGATTTTCCTGTAATTTATTTTGGTTTATAGATGCAAAATATCCAAAGAGTGTGACTGAATCTGCTCTTTTTGGTGAAAAAGTCAACATCACCTGTCAGATCCCAGAGAAACATGAAGTTCATTTCTGCAAAGAGGATGTTAATCACACTTATAATCACATCTGCCAGAAAATCAGCTCATCTAAAGTGACAGAAATTAATCCTTCATCTGAGAGAAATGAAGAGAGAGTTGTTAGAGTGAGCATCAGTAATGTGAGTGTGAGAGATGCTGGAGTTTACTGGTGTGGAGCAGAAACCAGAGACACATATCTGACTTTCATCTCCCTGAACACTAAAATTCAGCTCAACATCTTCAGTGAGTCAATTCAGATTGATCACAATGTAGCTATCAAACATTTGTATGCAGAGTCACAGTGAGATGGATGTTGAGTTAATAAGGTGTATTTTAAATGAATAAAACATCTGACTGACAGCTAAAGTGGGCGTGTCTAGAGTGAGCGGCTCCTCAGGAGGTGGTTTGATGATCAAGTGTGAACATCCTCAATACAAAACCAACCCAAAATACATCTGTAAAGAATCAGACGGATGTTCAGAGAAGAAGAATGCAGGAGTTCAGGATGAATGGATGGAGAATGGAGATGTTTCTTTATATGACGACACCAGAGCAGGAGTCTTGATGGTGTTTTTTAGAGAGCTGAAAGCTGCAGATGCAGGAACATACAGGTGTGGAGTGAAAGTATCTGACTATACTGAGAGCTTCACTGAACTTCAGCTGCACCCCAAACATGGTGAGCAAACTCAGATACTTTGTCTTATATATTTAAAATATTTGTTCTGATTTTTGTGTGATTTCTTTTGGTTTATAGATGAAAAATATTCAAACAATGTGACTTCTGCTCATATTGGTGGAGAAGTCAATATCACCTGCCAGATCCCAGAGGAGCATGAAGTTCATTTCTGCAAAGAGGATGTTAATCACACTTATAATCACATCTGCCAAACCATCAGCTCATCTAAAGTGACAGAAATGAATCCTTCATCTGAGAGAAATGAAGAGAGAGTTGTTAGAGTGAGCATCAGTAATGTGAGTGTGAGAGATGCTGGAGTTTACTGGTGTGGAGCAGAAACCAGAGACACATATCTGACTTTCATCTCCCTGAACACTAAAATTCAGCTCAACCTCATCAGTGAGTCCATTCAGATGATTTCACTTAAGTAAATGATGAAGTGGCCAGATAATGCATGCTTTATATATGTCAAACTTATGATGGAATAAGGTAGAATTAGGTTACATTTAGCCACTTTTAGCCATTGAGATGACTGGGAAAAAATGTCCCAATTACCCTGAATTAACCATATATATTTATGTGGAAATTTACTTTTTTGTTTTAGAACACATGAAAATATACTCTTTATTTTGATTGATTGATTGATTTTCATTTAGTGACTGCCAAGTGACTTTCTGTAATCAATATCTAGAAATTTAGTACACCGTTTTTCTGCCTGGGCAAAAAAATTAGGTACAGCTTTTCAAGTGCTTGAAATGTCCGGTCTGTTTTCTCTAGTTTCCTTGGTTGTTAACTAGTCCCCACACCTGTTTCATTTTTTGCTCCCAGTGTGTTTAAGCCCCGAGTTACTTCTGTTCATTGTTCAGTCTTGTCAGTGTTATATGTGGTCGTGTTTCTCTCCAGCAATTCCCTGTGTTTTCCTTGTGTATTATAATCAGTACTGTTTTGTTTTCTACTGCTTCATTACGTGCTTACTACAGCCACCATTCCATGACAGAAGACCGAACCTAGACAAGATTTTTTTGCTGCAGCATTTTCCCCCCGTTTTTTCTATGGACCTTCCTGCTGTATTTCTCCACCTGCTCGAGCCGGGCGATCACTCCCTCGAGGACCACACAAGGGATTTTTTTAGATATAACATACCTGACTTGCTACCCGGACAGCTGCCTATGCATATATATATATATATATTTGTTGGACCTAACACCTTGTCAAAGACTAAGCTGTCCAGGGGAGCTCCTCGAGGGAGCTTCGCTGTTTATGTGGAGTGAGTGCTGGAGAACAATAGATTGGCTTTCACCATCTGATATCATCAGCATGAGCCTGCACAAGAGGATGCGACAGAGCCTATCATGGGACGCCATGGGAATCCTTGTAGAGTTTGAGGATATGGAATAGAGCCCCGCCCACAGTCCCGTTGCTGGGGGTGAGCTGCAGCTGGCCTTTGTTGTTTATTTAGTGGATGCAATGGATGATTTTCCCCCGTTTGTCCTGTCTCCGCTGGTTCCACCCAGCCCTGAGTCTCATTCATCGGCCATTCCCAGGTCACAGGGAGCCCTGGACTCCACCTCCAACCCTTCTGCTCCTCCTTGGCTCCATGCTCCCTCAGCTCCACCAGGGTCCATCAGTCCTTGGTCTCTGACAGGCTCCCTCGTCCCTTCGGCTCTGACTTGGTCAGTCGTTGACCTGCCTCCGCCACAGTCTTTCGCTGCTCTGGCTTCATCTCGTCCCTCCATCCCTCTGGCACTGTAGTGCTCCTCCTTCCCTCTAGCTCCATCTTGGTCCTCAGTCACACTAGCTTTGTCACGGCCTGCCAAGCCTCCGGTCTCCGGTGTCACCTGGGTTTCCAATTCTCCGTCAGTTGTCCCCCTGGTGACATCAGCCAAAACTCCACGTTGGCGCCTCCCTCCCTCGACTCCACCGTAGGCTTCCTTCCTGACTGGACTCTGGGTCCCCATCTGGCTCCTACTCCAGGCTCCTCCCTGGCTCTTCCCTCTGTCATGCATGCCACCCTAGTTTCTCCCACCATCACCTTCTCTTGGTTCCTGTCCTTCGCCTGCTACACGGCCACCTCCAGAACCCCCTCACTCCCTCCTCAGTTGGACTCTGTTACGGCGCAAGAACGCGCCTTCTGGGAGAGGGGTGTAATGTCACATGTGATCTGTTTTGGTTTTATTTTCCCTGTGTTGCCTGCTGGTTTCTGTAATTTCCTTGGTTGTAAATTAGTTCCTTCACCTGTTCAGTTTTTCCTTGATTGTTCCCTGTGTATTTAAGCCCTGGGTTACTTCTGTTCATTGTTCGGTCTTGTCAGTGTTATATGTAGTATTGTTTCTCTCCAGCGATTCTCTGTGTTTTCCTTTTGAATTATAATTATACTGTTTTGATTTCCATTTCTTAATTGTAGCACTTACTACAGACACCATTCCGTGCCAACTAGCAATAGAGTCCAGGCACTGTGTATGCCACTGATTACTACAGTCTATTCAGAATAATTTCTATTAAATGTCCATGTTTATTTGTATTTAGAGCCTCCAGTAGTGAGACATGAAGGAGAATCTGCTGAGATCATCTGCCCTTATGATTCAATCTATAAATCAAAGTCAAAGTCTCTCTGTAAGGGGACGTGCTCCACTAGAGACAGAAATACTCTCAGTGAGACTGTGAGAGAAGAGAAAGAGAGCAAGACTCGTAGATTGACTCTGAATGATAACGTCACTGCACGTGTCTTCACTGGGACCATCACTGGACTGACAGCAGAGGATGCTGGGAAATACTGGTGTGCAGTGACATTAGAAACAGACCTCAATTATCTTTACACTCATCTGATCGTCATCATGAACGAGGGTGAGGAAGGTTTCTGCATCTGAATATGTGAAACCATGGCTGTGAATTGATGTTCTTGTGTCTGTAAACATTTCCAGAGCTGAACTTGACTAAGTATGAAGGAGACGACGTGTCAATCCAGTGCAAACATCATGATGAAGATCAGAAAAGCTTCTGCAAAGCACATGAAGCCTCCATGTGTGTGAAGGATGGAGTTTCATTGGAGACGATCAGAGATGATCGATTCTCTTTCAGTGATGAAGCATCTACTGGAGTCTTTACTGTGAACATCACTGATCTGAGAGAAGAGGATTCTGGGATATACTGGTGTGGAGCTCACGTCACCACTAAAGTCATTCTAGAAGTCAACAAAAGTAAGTTTTACCTTTACCTGACCTACATTGTTTCTATTTAAAGGTGATTAGCGTCAGTAATCGTCGTGACCTCACAGATAGTGGTAGATTTAGAGATTAAGTAGCTGAGAGAGAAGCTGAGTAATTTGTGATTTCCTCAGTTTATGAAAGCAGAAGTGAAAGAATTGAGCAGCCACAAATAGATTTTAGAAAATTTGCAGATGCAAATTATATTACATTATATCAAAACTAAAATTGCACTAAATGCTAAGATGTGGCTGCTGTATGTTTTATGTAAAATGTGGTTTATTGCACATACTGTGGTTTTTTAACTTTATTGGTATTACTGGCACCTGTTCTCCAGGTGTTTCTGGCAGAATCACGATCTCTTGCATTTGTGTGACTCTGCTGCTGATGGGAGCGTCTGTCCTGTTATTATACAAATTAGGATACATCAAGACACGAGGTGATCATCGCAAACACACTCATGATTTAACAGTCTACTGGCCTTGTGTGACCTGCTACTGTTTTACTTTCTCCCTGTCATTTTTAATTCAAATAACATGAGCAGTTTAGCCAGTTCTCATTTGATTTCTTGGAAAATGGGCCTGTAGTTTTATCTGTAACTAATCATTTGACTTTTTTCCAACCTTATCCCTAAAGACACTCTAATACTGCACACTCAGGCCCAGATTGACTAAACAGATCATATTATGTTTTCTTAAGGCAGCTTTAGTGTATTGTAGCAAATTAAAACTATTAAGTACGTTTTGTTGTGAGCATTTGTACTCTGGTTATAATCCACAGATCAGCACGCTTCCCCAGACAGGACGGACATGAGCGGTGGAGAGGTGAGGGGTGTTTAGTTTCTTGTTTATTGAAAATTTAGTTGACTGTCATTTGCACATGAAGCAGAACTAGAACCACGTTAATGAATTACACAACATATGACTTGTTTTCATGTGACTGACCAGCAGTGACAAAAAAATACTCACTAGTAAATGTGTGATCATTTGCAATGCAAAGCAAAAACTTAATACTTCCCCTCCTGATGCTTGCCATGCTTGTTTGTAGGGCTGCACAATTATCAATATAACTATATAATAATATTGATATGATGATATTATTACTTTTATTAAATACACATATAAATATTACTGAATAAAAGAAAAATATGAAATGTTATTGTAAATGCTCATGTAAATGAACACAGTGCCGTGTTTCACTCTGAAACATGCAGCATATATATCTATTTAATTAAACCGCAGCCTTTGCGATATCGTAGTCTCACTAAGCCATATTACAATTTCCTTTGTATTTAAATTAATCACGCAGCCCTCGTATTCAATCTAGTTTATTTCTCTCTAAATCTATTTTCAGGCCTCTCATGCAGCATGTGACTATGAGAATATCAGAGATGCCAGACTGCGCTCCGTCCCGGGAACTGAGGAAACGGTGTTATATTCCACTGTCACGCATCCCACAGACTCGTCTGATCCACACGACACGCTGTATTCTACAGTACAGTTACCCACAAACCCCTGTCATGGGCTCCTGTACGCTTCGGTCCATTTCCAGAAGCATGAAGAGTCTCTCAGTGATGCTAACGTAACCTTCAATAATGAGGAGATTTACTGTGATTACTCCACGGTCATTCCCCACACGTCACTCAAGTAGTTTAGGTTTTTTTTTTTTTGCAGTGATGCCAAAGAACCCTTTTTGGTTCCCCAGCTGTTTTTAAAAGATCCTCATTTTTCTTAGTGTGAAGAACATTCTAATCATGTAAAGAATGTTTTCCACTATAAAGAACCTATTGTGCATTGTGAAGGTGCCAAAGGTTCTTCATGGAACCATCAAAGGCCAATAAAGAACCTTTATTTTTAAAAGAGTATGGAATCTGGTCACGAGTGCAGTGACATTTTAATGCGTACAGTGACTCCTAAAATTATTTACACACTTCAGTGACACTTAAAATGCATTTCATTAGATATAAAATTATATAAAAAATGAAATACCATTTATTGTAAAGAAAGGTATAGCAAAAGTACTTTTTTCACTCAAAATAAGAAGTATCGCGTGACTTTGTGTTCGTTTGTGATTAGTGGAACATGTTCACAGTGAACTTAATGAACCACCCTTGTGTACGCTCATAAATGTGAAAGAAATTCATAATTGTGAGCAAAAACTTAGCACTTGTTTGCACGTGACACTTGATCTGCTCACTATGTTTACTCTCAGACGTTTATCAGTTTACTATAGTTAGTCATTTTGTCACACCCCCGAGAAATTACAGATAAGAGAACCTGTAGATAAACAAAGAAAACACAAGAGCGGAGCATCTGCTGGAAATGTACAAGAAAACAACTCAACTGGACACTTTTTTACACCACAGCGGGGTTTTTAGGTGTTGTTCAAGCACAACGCACTCTTGCACCCAAAAGCATCTGGAAACAGCTGATGCATCAAAACACAGGAAGAAAAAGGAACCACTTACAGATGTATTTTCATTATGAATTTTACTTACTGCAGCTGTTATTCTATTTATTCTTTCTAACTGCACTGTGTTTGTTCAGAGATGCCTCATCTGGAGTGTGTTTAGGTGCCATACCAGTTATGAGACTGAGATATTAATATAGGCTGAATGAATCATGCGCCTTGTTAATATCATGTCTATTGTACAGTTCATCACCTGTGTGTTTGTATTTGTTATATACAGTTTTCTGTTTTTCACTTATCAAGTGTTTTATATTCAAGGTGATAACAGGGACACTAACCCACATAATCACCTTCAGCTAACTAGACTACTAATTATTCACTTTGTATACCACACGTTTTAGTTTGCTTCCCTCTGCTTCTCAAGAATTAAAAATGCAGTTTAAACCTTCACTTGTTCTCTGGTTTGACTAAATTATTTATTGGGTAACAGTTAGTGAACAGTGGCAGCGTGACTTATGAAAAAAATACAAAGAGGGATTTTAAGGCACATTTGCATGCAAGCATCCATCTATTTTTCTGCTCTTCAGACTTTTTTTTTTTTCTTTTTTTTTTGGAAATGTGTGCTAATTTGTGTGGCAGAAGCTTTCAGACCTGCACAGGAGAGAAAAGACAGGAAGATGCTCATGGTCAGTATCTTTGGTTTAACTCCACTGTGAGTCACTGACAGCAGCACTGTATTTCATCACAGTGAGTCAGAAGAACTTAGTACAGAGGAAAGGGAAGAGGTGGAGTTGTTTGTTTTATAAAAAACTCTACGAGCACAAGATAGAGACACAAAACCAGGCACAACGGAAGAACTCACAGCGTCTCTGACTGCCCAAGAATGTACAGATTTACAGAAGTGAGAGTTTTATCATTAGTGATGATGATGAAGACCCTTCTCTTCTTCACGATCTGCCTGATTAAAGGTAAGAAGCTGTTTTCATTACAGTATCAACCTGTATGTGACAGCTGTTTTTTACTATTGACTCAACTGAGATCTAATCGTGTCTGTGTGAGTCTTTTGTCTTTATTTGTGCATTTTTGAGGTTTGCTGTCAGTATCTGATCATAAGGCACTTATTAAAAGAGGAAGTGAATTTTGATTGACAGGTCACATGGGTGATGCTGCTGACCCTGTGCCTGCCATCACAGGAGGAAGTGTCATCATCAACTGTATGTATAATCGGGAAAATGCGAAAACCAGTGCAAAAAGCTTTTGCAAAATGTCGGGCAGTGAATGTACAACCATGACAGAAGAAAAGAATGATTTATGGATCCCAGAAGAGAGATTCTCTATGACCGATGATAAAACTCTGGGTCTGATTAGTGTGCTCATTAGAAACCTGACTGTAAATGACAGCGGGATGTACAGATGTAAAGATGGCAGCGAATGGTTTCAGGAGGTGAAATTCAACGTGGAACCAGGTAGAAATTTATATTTATTTAACAAATTGTGCAGGCGTTTAGATTTAACATCTTATGTTTATTCCCAAGACAAGTGTACACCAATTGGAATTATGAAATTAAAACTCTTTTGGTTTCAGAGTCGTGTTGTGGGACATCAGAGAAACAGACTGCGTATATATTAGGAACTGCTGTCATCCACTGCAAATATCCCGAGAAATATAAAGATCATCTCAAGCAATTATATAAAGTGCAGAATGGATCGTTACTGTCTATTCATATAGTTGGAAGTTCGACCACCAATGAGAGATTTTCTCTGAATATAAATGAACAGGAGCATGTCCTCACTGTGACTATTGCTTATGTGAGTAGACATGATGATGGGGTGTATTTCTGTGGAATATACAACAACCTTATCTACACTCCCCTTTTCTCAGAGATTCGACTTCATGTTTCAGGTGAGAGCACATGTACACTTACATCTTATGTTTATTCCCAAGACAAGTGTACACCAATTGGAATTATGAAATTAAAACTCTTGGTTTCAGAGTCGTGTTGTGGGACATCAGAGGAACAGACTGCGTATATATTAGGAACTGCTGTCATCCACTGCAAATATCCCGAGAAATATAAAGATCATCTCAAGCAATTATATAAAGTGCAGAATGGATCGTTACTGTCTATTCATATAGTTGGAAGTTCGACCACCAATGAGAGATTTTCTCTGAATATAAATGAACAGGAGCATGTCCTCACTGTGACTATTGCTTATGTGAGTAGACATGATGATGGGGTGTATTTCTGTGGAATATACAACAACCTTATCTACACTCCCCTTTTCTCAGAGATTCGACTTCATGTTTCAGGTGAGAGCACATGTACACTTACCTTTTGTAAAAGGTAAGAAAGAGATGGTTCTTTGACTGAATGGTTCTTTATGGAACCAAAAATGGTTCTGCTATGGCATCGCTGTGAAGAACCTTTAGATGCACCTTTATTTTTAAGAGTGCACTCTAAAAAATGCTGGGTAAAATAGGGACAAACCCAGCAATTGGGTTGTTTTGAACCAGAGGGTTTTGACCCAGCGGTTCGGTTACTACCCAGAAGGTTGGGTTAAACATTTAACCCAACCGCTGGGTCAAAACAGCCCAATTGCTGGGTTTGTCCCTATTTTACCCAGCACTGGGTTGTATTTAACCCAGCATTTTTTAGAGTTTGTACATGTAATGTAAGTTAATGTCATTTTGATTCTTAACCTTTCATCTGTGGGCAACAACGAAAAATCAAGAACAGATGCTTCAGTCCAGTCTGGTGAGTTCTTTAACACAAATGAAATTGATTATTATGATAATGAAATTGGATTAATGGCCATTTATGACATCACAATTAAAGTGATTTGCTGGTAAAGTGAGACTTGCAGAGCTGGCCTTGGCAGTAGTGATGGGGAAAAGTAGTTTGAAAATTTGAATTAATCGAAACAATTGTGTCATAAAATGCGTCACTGTATTAAAGCGTCCGGCTGGTCAAAACAGTGTAAACGCAACAAAAACCCAGCCCAAATATGCATAAACCAATTCGAAATGATTTACTGACATTTTTATTTATTAAATGCAATTAACAGGTCAAGAAAGGCAACAACGGAAAATCAAGAACAGATGCTTCAGTCCAGTCTGGTGAGTTCTTTAACACAAATGAAATTGATTATTATGATAATGAAATTGAATTAATGGCCATTTATGACATCACAATTAAAGTGATTTGCTGGTAAAGTGAGACTTGCAGAGCTGGCCTTGGCAGTAGTGATGGGGAAAAGTAGTTTGAAAATTTGAATTAATCGAAACAATTGTGTCATAAAATGCGTCACTGTATTAAAGCGTCCGGCTGGTCAAAACAGTGTAAACGCAACAAAAACCAAGCCCAAATATGCATAAACCAATTCGAAATGATTTACTGAAATTTTAATTTATTAAATGCAATTAACAGGTCAAGAAATTCCATTTAATATGAAGTGTCTGTATAGTTACGTCACTTGCAGCTGTGCGTGCATTGTGGTGGCAGAAAAACACTAGGAACAAAATGTTCTGTTGTGCTTTTGGATGCCAGAATCGGAATGTAAATAATTTTTATAGAATACTGTCGTCAAAGACGCCATTTGAAGCTAAACGCAGACGTTGAAACGGATGAAGTGAATGAAAACTGTTATGGTTACTCTACTTTTAAAGCATACATTTGATTTAAACAATAGGTCTACATAATATTCACATATGCAGTTCTTAGGGGACGTATTGTATTAGCTACAGTTACAGCATAAAATAGCCTACTATTTAAACCTATTACATTTCACATTACATTTACCTATTTTATCTCACAATTCTGACTTGCAAATGCAAGTTTAAATCTCCTGCTTCAGACTTTATAACTCGATTTAAATCAACAATTGCGAGTTTGTCAATTCTGAGGGGAAAAAAAGACAGAAGTGTGGAATTTAAAAAGAGAATGACGAGTTGATTTATATTTATACATATATCACAATCAGAATTGTGAGATATATTCTCGGAATTGCGAGAAAAAAAGTCAGAATTTTTAAATATAAACTCAAAATTACCTTTTTTATTCTTTTATTTCATGGATTCCATAGACTGCTACTTTAAAACTGTCATTTTCTACCAGATAGGCTCCTCCCAGAAAAAGACGTTATCACTTTTTGCAAACACCGAAATTGGTCCATAATATGTGTTATTTTAATTTGCAGGGCTCGTTTGTTTATGGAGAACATTGCTAAAAAGGCCAATAAGTACTACTCT